TACTCCCACAGGCACAACATGGAGATATATGCTTGTATATCTTAAGGGTCATATTTTTTCAGTGCCATTCAAAACTCTCTGGTGAATCATTAAATTAAAATGGTGAGTCCTGGCCAACTTATGCTTCTCATAAATATAATGAGATAGCAAAGAATGAATATAATAGAAAGTATCAGAATGTCTCACATATATAGGTATACATTATTTCACAAAGAGTTTATTAGAAATGTAGAGATTATTATAGTTACATGTAAACAGTTTCTTATTGCAAAGTCTTAAAAGTTTCCTAATAAAAGATCAGAAAGCAACAATAGAGTAATAACTTCTGGAGTTAGAGTTATTAAAGTTTGAATATCAATTCTGCTATCTATGTGTTCGATAACCTTGGTAAGCTGCTTATCTAAGTATGTTTGCTCATACATAGATAACACAGGCCTGATACCCAATAAGCAATGCAGGATGACTTACAAGAGTCTCTTATAAGGATCACCCAATTCTGCATCTAGGGTCACAGAGTAGAAGTGGCGGGTTGCCTCAGTGACATCACACATTTCAATTTGTAGGATCCATAGATCCATTCAGAAAGGATTGTCCCTTACCTCCACAAGCATGGTGTCTGGACCTTTCATGCTCATGTTGGAGTTGTACAGTAAGTAATACACACAACAGGAACCAAATGCCTGAATGTTGGGCTAACAGCCAGGGCAGAAAATGGGGGAGAAATCTAGTTTTCTAAAGTTTCTGACAAGCAACAGCACTGAGATGTCCATCTCAACAACAGCAGCAAACACAAAAGCTCCAGGATTCCTGTCATGGTTCAGGCAAGACGCTTCTGAAGGAAGAGACAGAATTCTTTGCTGGCTCTACAGACCCCATGGCTTCCAAGAAGTACTGTTCTCACCCACCCATGCCTCCTTTCTCCACCAAGCACCCAATCACTGGCACCAACTTCCATGATGCTGCCGAGAAGCGCAATGCCCTCCTGCCATCTCTTTTCAGATCCACATGGAAGGAAGGGTGAGGAAGGAGATTAAGCCTGAAGTACTGAAAGGGCACCCAGGATGGGGAGGAGAACAGAGGTATGTAGGGAGCCAAGGAGAAAAACGGCAAACCAAAAAGGAGGAAAGAAGTGATAAGGAGAGAAACAAAGAAAATAAACAAGAGGGTGTGACAGCTTTTATAAAGCAAACACTAAGCATGAAAACAAAGAGAAAGAGGGCAAAATAGGTAAGTAATACGCTATGAGTACAAGAGACCACCCTCATTCCAAGCAGTGCCCATTGCCCTTCCCCTCCTCAGACCTGGTCTTCAGACCGGCTTCTGCCAGGGGATTCCACGGCACAGGCCTGAGGCCTTGGGGAAACAGGCTCCACCAAATGAAAAACCCCAGCAAGGCTGGGGACAAATACACTCAATCCTGCCCGCCACTGTCAGGTGCTACCTCAGGGATCCCCACCCCTGATCCTTGTCCCCAGATGTGTGGCCCAGCTGCCTCATAATTCCTGTCATTCTCTGAACTCCATATGTTGCATCCTACATCTGACAAATTTGAGGGCATTTAGATATTTTTTAGGTTCAAGCTTTTTTTTTTTTCATTTCAGAGAATTCAAAGAATGAAACACAGCAGAAGCCTCCTAGGAACATCCTGGTTATTTGCAAAAGGAACCTCACTCTGCCTGTCTTCTAGTGCTGCTCCCTCCTCTTAGGAGTTAAAGGATTCGGCCTGTACTTGCTTCCTGTCTGGATCTCTCTTGCCTCTTCCATCTTTCAAATCACAGGCAAGAGGTACAGTCAGTGCTTGAAGATGAGCCAACGCAGTTCCAAGTCATTTGTAAGAGGCTCTGGCCTGGACCAGGGGGGCAGTCTGACCTCAAACACCCTCAAAATAAGACAGCCTAGAAACAGATCCATGTCTTTTCAGCTAAAATGAGCAGGAGCCAGGCCTGCTTCAGTGTCATAACACATGGTACTACGGAGGTGGCTGGGAGAGAAGAGAGAACTTCACAGTGCAGTGAGGAAACACCAGCCTCAGAAATTATCTGGTGGGTGAGGCAGCGGGCATCTCCTGCTCCATGGGGAGGAGCAAAGGGTCTTAGTGGCCAGGCATTCAGGGCTAAGGACCCAGTGTTTAGGGCCCAGGAAAACAGAATGAAAAGGGGAGGGAAGCCAGCATGTGGCCAGGCGGAGCTAGAAGGACAAGAAGTGTGAGGATGAGGCCTCTGCTGTCCTCTGGCCTGTAATCTGGGCCCAGGGTGACCCTTGCTGTGCCACACCCCCTGGCTGCCATGTTCGCTCACCAAAACCTGAGATTTCCCCTTAAAATGGAGGTTGGACATGTGGGAATAAGTCCGGCTGGCCAGCCTGGCTCAGGTGGTGATGGGGGTCATCCTAAGTCACTTTGGGCTTCCGATCTGTCTTTGAGGCAGAAATATAGAGCATCTTTGAGGACACCTGCTCTGACTGTGGGAAAGTGGACAAAATGCTCAAAATAGAAGAAAAGCAAGGGTCAGGACCCAAAGAGGCCTCAGTCCCTGTTTCTCTGGACTCTCTGTAGGGTGCCTGTGTGTAGGATTTCTGCAGAAGATAGTCCATTTTGTTAAGCCTTTGAATATTCAAATTGAAAGTATCGCGCAATCATTGATTGTCAAATCATGGGTTTCTAGAGGTTTTAAATACTTGGCATGAGGGGAAAAAAACTCAAACCTATACCCGAAGGTATAAAACATTAATTCTGTGTATCTCCTACTCTAGGGACCTGGATGCAGCTGGATGCTTTGTGAAACTTTAAAAATGTCGCATCTCTGCCTTTCTCCCTGCACAGGAGCCTCCCCAGGCGCTGAGTCCCTGCAGCTGCAGCATCCAGGCTCTGACCCAGCTCCTGCACACCACGATGTCTGGTAACTTGGTGCTCCGGGGGTCGGGTCATGTGGGCCAGGGGCATTTCGATCTGGGTGTATTTCCACAGCTTTTCCTGAATGCAACAAAGAGACACAAAGTCAGGGCACGAAAGAAAGGGCGGGCGGGATCCCGGGAGGGCACGGGCCATGTAGCCGCTCCCACTCGGAGCCTGCTCCCCAGGGCAGGCAGAGGCCCAGAAACAGACTTGGCTGCTCCGGGCAGCCGCGTACCCGGGCCCATGCCCGGCCGCCCTCTTTTCCACTGTGAGTCCGGGACTTCGCGGCGCCGACTTTGGCGCGGCTTGAAGCGGCGGCTGGGGGAGCTAGAGGCTCACGGTGAGCAGGGAACAGCGGCTGCGCTGAGCTGAGCTGTGGCGGTCTCTGGTCTCTGTACGGACCCCTAGGCACGTCCACCGCCTACGGAGCCCCTAGCCGAGTGAGGAAGAGGGGTGGGGAGAGAGGGTGCTGCACCACGGAGACCACACGGCGTACTGAACCTGCGGGCCGGGTATGGGATTCCCTGGATCTGGGTGAAGAGCAGCATAACTTTCCTTCGAGGAAAGACCCTCAGCCACCGGAATCTGGCCCTCGAGTAGGGGGCTCTTTGCTGTGAAGCTGCGGTCCCTGCAGTGACCAGGTGAGGCGCTGGCGACCTGGCGCTGTCGCCGGATGCTCAGGTTGCACGCGCAGCCGCCCCCAGCCACCGCGCCGGCCCCCCTCTGCGCGATTCCCAGGCGGTCACTCCGGGATAGAGGACCGGGCCGATTCGACCTGGGCTCCTGCAGCCACCCCACCCCCACCTCGATAGTTTGCCCTGCCCAGCTGTGAAGCTGCGGTCCCTGCAGTGACCAGGTGAGGCGCTGGCGACCTGGCGCTGTCGCCGGATGCTCAGGTTGCACGCGCAGCCGCCCCCAGCCACCGCGCCGGCCCCCCTCTGCGCGATTCCCAGGCGGTCACTCCGGGATAGAGGACCGGGCCGATTCGACCTGGGCTCCTGCAGCCACCCCACCCCCACCTCGATAGTTTGCCCTGCCCACCAGGGAATGGCCTAACAGCCAGAGGGACCTACTCACTGTGATTCTGCTGGCCCGGGGCTAGGGCACCCCATGCTCCTGGGGTGCGGGGTCCCTCCCCGAGGACCCTGCGGTGCACGCCAGGTCGCTTGGATTTGCAGGGGCAAAGCAGCCAGGCCTCCCCAGCTCAGGGGCGGCCCCTTCCGGAGGCGGCCTCCCAGTTATTGCATAGTCCTTGGGATCCTCCCGGAGGCTTTCCCTGGAGCCCCAAGGAGAAATGCCTGAACCAGAAAGGGAGGGGTCGTGGGAGAGGGGGAAACAGGGAGAGCAGAGAAGGGGCTGACGGGAGAGGAGGAAGAACTGGAGAGCCGGCAAGGCAGAGAAAAGGGACCGGGAAGAGGGAGAGTCGGTAGGAAGGAGAGGGAGGACAGGGAGGCAGTGAGGGAGTTTCATGGGCCTGGCTGCTTTACTGGGGTCAGTCTGGCAGATCCCTCATGGGCTCAAGACCAGGCTAACCAAACCCCGCACCTTGCCCCTGAGCTGGCTTCCACACCAAGGGCCCCTAGGGGTCCTGACCTCCCCAGAAGCCATGGCAGAGCTGGTAGAGAAGGGATTGACAACTTCACACCGAACATCATGGTGGGGCAAGTTAGGGCCACTGCCTTGAGTCAGAATGCCCCTTCTGTCCATATATCTTCACCTCTCCCATAGCGCCACACTCCCTCAACTCTTACTTAGCCAAGGTGGTGGGTTCCCCTGGACTGGGCTCCACATTCTTGAGCAGAACAACCTGTGTGTTAATCTGTGTTCATCCCACTGGAGACTTGAAAACTACTCCGTTTTTTTGTTTCCGTTCATTTTGTGTTCTCTAAAACTAGAAACTTGGTTTGGGATACCATAACCTATCAAGGATACCCTCTCTTCACAGTCAGACACCCAAACCTGGACCTGACCACTGACTCAGTTTTCTTTCCCCAGAAAAACCGAAGATGTATCAAGGTGTCCGAGTAAAGATCACAGTGAAGGAGCTGCTGCAGCAGAGAAGGGCACACCAGGCAGCCTCCAGGGGAACCGTAAGCATGAATCCCACACTAGTTCCCCAGCCCATGATAGGCCTTGTTCTGAGAATGTGAAAAGCCACTCCCATATCCAGCCTTTCTCAGCTGTTGCAGTAACTTCTGTGCCCAGCTTCCTCTCATTTCACAAGATGCCACAGAGAACAGGTGGGGCATGGCTGGGGTTCAGGACTTGGGGTTAATTACTTACTGGTTAATGTTGAGTGCAAAAGGCTTATTGGTGTTCTGCAGGAAAAGCCAGTCAGCAGGTAAGTATATTACTATTGTGTTAGGAAGATAGTGTAGGTACACTTCTCAGACTCATAGAAAAACTCAGAAATTCACCTGAGGTTGGGGAGCCCTTCCAGGTTAACATCTCTGTGGAACATTTTCCGTTCTCTCCTCACCCTTCTGGAACTCAGCCTCTGAGATTATTTTGTCTGTAAATCACCAGTCACTAAAGGAAAGTCTTCAGCAAAAAAGGCCCTGTCTCTGGAGTACACATAGAACCACTTTCTGAAGATGTTATAAAGCCTTAAGCATTCCAGCTTATTACAAAATTGATCTGGGCAGTCATAAGCACCTTACACTTTATATACCTTCCTAAAGCAGATAAGTACACCAGGAGTGCTCACAGAGGGCAACAGGACCAGAACTAAACAAACAAAGTGAGATTATCCCCAAAGAGTATGGAGGTACCAAGACATCTAGGGCCTGGTCCAGAAGCTATCCAGATTCTTCTTTACCCTGTGCATATCAGCACACCACAACAGTTTTTGTGCCTGGTGCTGTTTGTATTCAGTGTAGGACTTCATACAAAAAAAAATGGCCTTTGGCAGTGGACATCATGACAAGGGGGGAGGCACATAATGTAGGGAGGTAAATGTCAGATAAATGGGGTTCAGATCTCAGCTCTTCCATTGTGTATATCCTCCAGCAAGTTACTCAGTCTCCTTTGCCTGTTTTTCCTCATCTCAAAATTGAAGATGATAGTAACGGTTAAATTAACTACTGCATATAAAGCACTTAAAAGAGCACTTCCACACAGTGAATGCTCAATAAATGCTATTATTACTTGGGAAAGACAACTAAAATACAATTGCAACCAAAGACTGAAAATCAGATATTCAGTAATGCTCAGAGTTTAGAGTTAGCTGTGATTTGGTACATACAGATGGAGAAGTTAGTATCTGCAGCTATAGAATTTTGCGTAAAAATAAACCTTCCTTACATTTGTAGAGTTTTACAGTGATTAATTCTTATAATAACCAAGGGAGGTAAGTATAAAAAGTCTTCTCATTGTTGGCTCTCAAAATTCATCTTTCTTCAGATCCAGCAACTCCTTCAATTTAGAGATGGTTACACAATGAGTAAAACTAGATCTAGAGGGAACTGGAAAATACTTCTGGAGCCAAAATAAAAATCAGGATGTTTATTACAAAACATAATCATTATTCATTAAAGAGCTTCGGTATTTGGTACAATTCTGTTTCACCTGTAGCTGGAGAACTTCATCGCTCTTGGGTCCTTACAGATTGGTTTTACCATTGTTTCACTCTTAGCAAGATGCAGGACCTAAAGCATTTCACTTGTGTATCTGGACAGTTTCTCTTCCTTGGACCACTGTTGCATCTTTTTCTGAATCTCCTCCTCCCAAGCATGAGAAATAAAGCAGGACTCCTGAACCAGTGCTTTGCAGGAACACTGCTTTGACTCCTGGAAGATTCTGTCAGTTCATTCCCTCACAGGCATGTAGGAGTAATGCATATATAATTTCAGTCAGTGAGCCAGATGTGAAATCCATCACTGGGAGCCATGGGAAGGATCTAGGATTCTAGATTTGTTGCAAGAGTGTACTTAGTAGGCAAAAAAGGCATATACCACAGGATGATTTATGCCTATTCTTTGGTGTAGACCTTTCTAGTTTAACAGATTGTCTCCAATTAGATTATTGGAGAACAACCCTGGGAACTTTGAATCAAGGAAAGCATTCATTATATCAGATATGACAAAGCAAGAAGAGATTTTGTCTTCTTATAAAGCCTGAATAGTATCCCCAGTATGGAATTTTAAGAATGCAGTCATGGACAGAAGTTATAGATTGAGACAAATACCCAAGTTTCAAATTGTCCTAGAAGAAACTGCATGCCAGACTGGTAAATTTAATTTTTAAAATATTCATTTCAGCCGGATCAATTTACAAACACACTGACACACCCATGCACATGCATTTCCTACGCCTTCAGAGTAAAGAGAAACTTCAGTTAGTACTTATCTCAAGATATAATTTACTTTTTTTCACCATTAGTTTTTTAAACAGCCTTGATCTAAATTGTAGATTGTGGGTTTTTTATGTTGTTTGAAATCTAAGAGAGGTGCCTTTCTTTGTACTGGAGTGAAGTAGAAAGTGAACCCATGACTAGAAAGATAATATCAAGTCAGATATTGTGAACATACCTCGGGGAGATAACAACAGGATAACAAGGAGGCCAGCAAACAGGCCAGTCTGGGAAAGCATGGGGTTAAAGAGCTCTACATGGAAGCAGATTTTTTAAAACCCACTCCTTCCAAGTCCTTCAGCTCGAGCTGCTGCCAAATATTTGCATAAAGAGCTAGTAAAGGATTCCAGCTTCCTGGTTCATGACATTACAGCATGGATTATTTTCAAAATTAACACCACCTCCCGTTTCAGCAATGGCTGATTGTGCAGTTCTCCCAGTGGCTCAGTATACAGGAGTGAGTATCCCCTGGAATCCAAGTGAGGCTTGGCTTCCCAGCCTACAATCCCAGAGCAACGCTGGTCACTTTAAACTTTAAAACCACCACCTGAAATCTAAACAAAAAAATTGGTACGGTTAACCACTCCACTGGAAATTATAGGCTCTTTCACTTTAAATAGTTACGATGAGCAGTCTCATAAACTTGAAATACTGTAATGAAAAAAGTAAATTTATAGAAAATAATAAAAAATACAAAGAGTTGAAATATATCCTAACAGTGTGGAATAGAATGTTGATAGGCTCCAACTCACTGACTACAGCTTTAAGAAAATATTTCCTATTTTAATAGCTAATAGATACTAAGAACATGTGAAAATTTTAAGCTACTCTGGTTTAAAAAGTTAGCAATTTTATTCTTTAGGGGATGTGAATTCCTTAGACTAAGAAACCAGATAAGTTACGATGCAGTCTCATAAACTTGAAATACTGTAATGAAAAAAGTAAATTTATAGAAAATAATAAAAAATACAAAGAGTTGAAATATATCCTAACAGTGTGGAATAGAATGTTGATAGGCTCCAACTCACTGACTACAGCTTTAAGAAAATATTTCCTATTTTAATAGCTAATAGATACTAAGAACATGTGAAAATTTTAAGCTACTCTGGTTTAAAAAGTTAGCAATTTTATTCTTTAGGGGATGTGAATTCCTTAGACTAAGAAACCAGATTCTAAAGGAAAGTTTTTAGGGAAATGATTGACTAAGTCATAATTGGATTAAATAACTGTTAGTCCTTATTTGTAAATTGAATAGTTTAAAAGAAGATCTTTTTGCTGAGTTTTCTTGAAGTATTACATTTCTGTAACAGAAAGAAGTTATTTACATTAATGTTTTAAAATTAAGATGAATACCTTAAAACTGAAGTAGGGAATCTGATATTAGGGGAAAAAAGTTCCTAAACAAGCAAACACCAAAATTGAATCTAAGTAAAATATAATGTTGGGTGTATTTTTTATAAAGCACATATTTTTTAGAAGAAGGACTCTGGCTTACCTTGTAGCAGAAGGAAACATAGTTCCCATCAAAATATCTTAGCTTTTCCCATGTAGAGTTTCTGTGCTTCTTTTTGCTTCATTGTCATATTCTTGTTTTGGCAGCTGTCTGAAGGCAGCAGTATCCACCCTTCAGACCCAGTCACACCATCTTCTGCAGGTCAGTACAGCCAGCATTGCAATTCCTTCAAACTCTCTTTCAAAAGTCCATCTCGAAAGCTTTTCAGTGCTTGATTCAGGGGTTAAGATAGGCACCACCATTTAATTGGAATTCAACCAATCAGAAAGTGAAAAACGCACAGTAACTCCAGATGCAAGCCCAGCAAGGGAACAAGTGCAATTTTTGGTCCTCCTTTCTGAACTGTCTATGCTCTGCTGTCTGGACTGTCCTAAGACTTTGTTTACATTTTTTTCCAGTTCCTCACCTCCAAGAAGCTAAACTTGACTATAAAATCAGAACTTTTCCAAGAGCCTCTTTATCGTTTAGTACACTATTCAGTGAAATACTGAACATCCTGAACGCTATAATAATGCCCTTGCTCTTGTTCATGTAGCTTCCAGCCCACAGGGGCTTCCCTCCCCTTCTCTTCTCCCTTCCCAGAGAGCAGTTCAAACAAGTGTAAGTTTTCCCAGCTCAATACGAATAACTCTGTTACATAAACATTCCTTCCTATGCCACTCAGCAGCTAAGAGGTCATAAATAAGGAAGCCTGTGTTTATGGATGATTTCCACTGAATGTGTCACCTTTAACTTAACCTTAAAGGAACTTGAAACTTCAAAAACTCCAAAGTCCTGTAGCCCCTTTTTTTGGGCACACTCTAAACCTGGCTTCTATGAGCATTTAAGAATAATCCTAAATTGAGTCTATTAATACTTAAAATGGAAAGGAGTGATTTTTCCAAATTGTTTAGTGTTTAACTATTCTTATTGCATTATCTTGTTAGCATGTCTACTATGAAAATACTTCATTTTTTGTAATTTTAAACAAGTAATACTAATTTGTACTCTATATTCCTGGTCTCCATTTTTATCATTTCCATTTATATCACTTTTGAAAATCCACGCCTCAAAATTTAATCTAGTAAGTGTGAAAAGGTTAGAAAGCAGTACCCCTGAATCAAGAGAGTCCTTTTCAATAGCATCAGAAGTTTTCTCATAGCCTCAAACAGATCTGTCAATTACTGCCGAGAGGTTTACTAAAACTTCTGATAGGGCCTGGATGTTAATGCTTTTATAACACGCTTGAGCTATCAACCGTGATCCTTGGTCATGGTTGAGCCACAATACTTTATTTTTGCTCAAGCCATATTGATATCCAGTTGCCACATCATTAGTCAAATTCATTTCTCTGGTACCAGAATTAACTAAAACAATTGAAAGTCCAAATTGTCTATTTGCTTCTCTGGAACTTCCTAAGCACCTTTCCCTCCAAAATACTCAGAGTATAGAAGCAAACTCCATTCAATCCATACTGCAATTTTTAAAATCTTCTCCCTTTCTCTTCTAGGACTCTGTTTTGAGCCTGAACCATTATCTTCCACACCCAGTTATTTTCAACCCCAAGAATATTCCACTTGGATTTCTTGTGAAGAAAACCCCAATTTCCTGGACCAGATCTTCAATTCCTACCTTCAGCCTGAAACACTCTCAGAGCCTTTGCTCAACTCCACACAAAGTGCTCCTCACTATCTGCCGGACAGCATCCAGGCCAGCCCTTTCTGCTTTAACCAGAGCCTGGTAATTTATCTTCATTTTTTATGTAACCGATTGTTGCTAACTATGGAGTCATAATGCTTTATAAGAAAGTTGTATCATAGACCAGGGATTTAACTCAGTGGCACCATGCCTGCCTTGTAAGTACAAGGTCCTGAGCTCAATCTCTGACACCAAAAAAAAAACAAGGAAGGAAAGGGAGGGAGGGAGGAAGAAAGTTGTGTCATCTCCTGAGGAATCATACAAATACCATCAAGGAAGCAAGCAGGGAACTATTTATAATGCAAAGTGCAGAGATAGCTCCTTATGGAAGGGGATAAACCTTTAAATACACACTTAATTATGATTTCCCAGTGAGTTGATGGGTGGCAGTAAAAGGATTTCCTGGCAGTGCTCAATGATTTTTAAACTGTGGGGTTAAGTCATCTCATAGTTTGGAAATGATTAGTTTACCTAGCAGCTCTTGGATTTTTAAGTTCTTAAAAATGGAACTAAGGTTGCATCTACACACTGCCAAATTTCATTTTGATAGGGGAACTGAGTTCAATTGGATTTAGTTACAGAATTGTCTCTGTTAACTGGTTGTTTTTGTATACTACAGTATAGGCACAAGAACTCCTTTGAGTCAGTGATGGCTAGTAAAACCGAAGCCCTATCCTTTACAAGAATTTTAATTGTTTGTTTTGTGTTTTGTTTTGTTTTGAGTTTTTTTTTTGTTTTGTTTTTTTTTTTTTTTGTTACCGTGGATTGAACTCAAGTCCTTGCACTTGCAAGGCAGGCCACCGAACCTCTGAGCTAAATCCCCAGCCCATGAATTGTTTGTTCTTTATAGATCTCAAGAGCTCAAAAATGTGTTATTCTTTAAAATGAAGCATATTTTCCATAAGATCTACTTATCTAAGTATTTTAGACATCTTTTTGAGACTTGTAATTTTTTGAACCTTCAAGTGTGAAGTTACAAAGTTTTTAAGAAATATGAATTTTTTAGTGTATGAAACATCTGTACAGGCATCAGGCTAAGTTTTAAAGGGAATAGGAAATTAACTCTGCAGAATATGCATATTGTTGCTGGGCCTCTGTCACCCAGTTCCCTTCAGCCTCCAAGTTAGGCTTTTCTCAGCGACAGCTGTAGACTTGCTTAAGAGAAGATAGTCAGTACCTTTTTCCTCAGGAAACAAGACTTTACTGGCAGGGAGGGTAGTGACTCATCCTGGATATCTCAGAGCTAGGGTCCTTGAGGATCCAAGTTCTTTCTGCTTTTGCACGCTCACCTAGTTCTTCACAGTCAAGGGTGTGGAGAAATATCCAGGGTGCCACCTGCAGCTTATATTGTGGCACACAGCAGGATTTAATGTGCAGGTGACCCAAAGTACAAAAGGATTTTGTGGTTTAAGAACAAAACATCCTCCAAAGTATGGTTATAACAAAGGAAGCCAGTGAAGCAAGGCAATTGATTGTTGGGAAAGAAATAGGCAAATATAGTGAATGGTGTCATGAAATCATGTAGTCAACAAATAAAATTACTTCTCCAGACTTGGGTTGGGTATTTTGTTTTTCACCCCTACTTTTCTTATGCTGTGTTAATAAATCCACATTTTACAGCTGTTTTAATCCTGTCTAAGGTTATCAAGCTCTTTGTTTGTTGGTTTTCATTTCTATAGACCCTGGGATCGCCTTCAGATTCCTCTACTCTCTCTGGCTCCTTAGACTACAGTTACTCGCCAGCTCAGCCGCCTTCATATGCTTCAGAGAATTATAGTTCTCCCCCTTCTCTGGACACCCTAAACCATGGCTACCCCCAAGAAGACTACTCTTACTACCACTTGCCCTCACACGCCCAGTACAACTGCTTCTCCACTGCCACCACCTCAGTCTGCTACTGTGCGTCTTATGAGGCAGAGCCCTTGGAGGCCCTCAAAACAGCAGAGTACCTCTATCCAGGCACAGACTGTGTGGACTTTACCCCCTTAGCAGCCACCACCAGTGATTTCTATAAAAGGGAAACAAACTGTGACATATGCTATACTTAATAGAAATTCCATGACTTGGAACATGGCACAGGTATAGCTATTTTTCTACCACATATAGATGACACTTCAAAATATGAAACCCATTAACAAAATATCACAGACATGGTTGATGTCACTGTTTCCATTTTCTGATGCTAATGTCAGGATTAAATATCAAGTCCTCAAACCTGGTCATAGTGCCGAGAGTTACAATTTTTGTAGGTGACTTTCCATTTACTTTTCTGTGTAACCAACAAATTCTGTCTCTTTTTTAAACTAATAAACAACTTTGTATTATTATATTTGGGTTATTTTTTAAATTTCTAATTGTAGTTTCTGCTTGATTTGAATATTATTAATTAAACCAGGAAATCATCAATTACACTAGAGTGGTTCATCTTAGTTATTCATGAACATAAAATTATTTTAATGGGGTAGGATGCCTTGGCTGCCATAGAATGCAATAGACATGGCCGCAATGGTAGAAAAGCAACATCTGCCTCTCTACTAAATGAGGATATACATCTTGGAACAGCATGGATGAAGCCAGGCCTGGTGGCACATGCCTGTAATCTCACCACTCTGGGCGGCTGAGAGAGGAGGATTGCAAGTTTGAACTGAGCCTATCCAATTTAGCATGACCCTGCCTCAGAATTTAAAAGTGTTAAAAGGAGGACCAGGGATTTGTCCCAGTGGTGCCAGCCACCTGCCTTGCAAGTGCTAGGGCCCGAGTTTGATCCTTGGTGCAGAAAAGTTTCAAAGGGAGTAGGGAGGTAGGTAGCTCAGTATGAAGACCTTGGCTTCAATCCTCAATACCCCAATACCACAAAAAGAAAGACAAGAGAAGAGAAGGAAATAATAAAAGGGAAGAAGAAAAAGAAAGGAAAGCCAGAGACATGGATGAAACACTAGTTTTTCTATCCAATATTGGCCAAAGAAATATTAATATGACCATAACTTAACTGTGGCATTAACCTGTAGATTGTTTCCAAAGTACTGCTATGTAAAGGTTTTTGGCAAATACTTGATCTTTTTTCTCTTAGGTGCAGCCATATAGTTTCAAATATTGGTTGCCTTCTATTTCTGAATTTCTGTTGTAAGTCCTTATATATCTTGTATTCACACATTGATGTTTAGTATTATGCTGTTTACAACTGACTTTCAGAGTTTACTTCCTCTAATTAATCTATGAAGAAGTCTACTGCCTTTCAAAGACGAGGAGTTACTTAAGCTACCTATGCTAGTCTATGCTATTAAATCTTGTTTGCCAAGGACAATTACAATAAAGGACTTAAGGGGCCAGGGATTTAGCTCAGCAGTTCGGTGGCATGCCTCACAAGCGCAAGGACCCAAGTTCAATTCCCGGTACCAAAAAAAGGACTTAATCACTTCAGTGAAGTCTAGAGGGTATTTTCCTTATCTCAAGCTTCAGCACCATGACAGCAATACTGGTACCACTAGCACTGGCCACAACTGTTTTCTGAGCCCTCTAGTATAACAAAATTGTCAGCAGATTTTCTTTCTCACACATTTTAATCTTTGTTACAAAACTGATAGCAAATTGAGGAGTTGGAGAGTCAGAGAATTTAAGTCACCTGCTCAGAGTTGCCCAGCTAGTCAATACCCAAGCTTGAGTATGAAAGAATTCAAAGAATCCTGCTCCTTACTCTCCCATAATGTAAAGTTTGAGCCACCATTTATGAAAGACTGTTCAGGAACATATGGGATCATTAAACCCCAACTTCATCCTACACACAAAGGTCGATTCCCATGAGGAGGGCTAAGTCAGACATCCCCAAAAGGCCACACTAAGGGCAGGACACAAAATTGCCAAGCATAAGAGCTGCCAGCATCCTACAGTATGGGGGTGGGGAGCTAACCGTCACCTCAATGGGCTTCCTCCAATCAGGGGACAGATATGCTCTCAAAATGCCATTAATTTTCCTCTCCCTGGGGACCTAACTCAGGCTTGGGCAAACACAACAAGCTACAGCCTGCCTCATGAAATAGTTGTGCCAGGGAAATAGAACAATTGCCGCCTTTTTGAGATGCCAATAAAACTAAATTTTTAATGGGTTGAAACTAAATTAAAACTGGCCAGTTGTCAACAAATATCTATTCACACAGACCAAAGTCCCTTCAAATTCTTCTCCCACCCCAGCAGCTGTTCCCAAAGGCTAAAGAGGAGAGAAATCAAGGATGCTCAGTGGTTGGCACCAATGCAGCCCTTTCCTGGATGCCAGTCATATAGATATATATGTGTATATTATATACATATTCATTCCCCCTTCAATCCAATCCTCTACATTCTGAATCCATTATCTTGCAGCTCTAACAGCATTTTCTGACCCCTGTATTTTCTTTTCTTTCTTTCTAGCTCCCTTAGTTTTTGCTAAATCTAGTATGGAAAAGGATTCAGAGAAATGTGAGACTAAGGCAAATATAGCTAATGTGCACAATGATGTATAGCTCCACCTTAACATTGTCTTTTAAGAAATTTGAAGAAACTGACACTGATAGGCCACTGGGTGTACTACCTAGGGGACAACCTCTGCCCACCCCATGTCTTGCCTGCTGCAGCACACACAGAACAGCTCAGGAGCTCTGTAGCAGCAGATAAAACACATATCAATGGCACTGAAACAACCTGCCTCTCATCACACATACCAGGCAGCTGGATAAAATAAAAATGCTTATGCTTCAGTATGACGAAGCACAACCCAGGAGGTCTGGGGTGGGACTCAGGCATCTTTACATTTTAAAGATACCTAAGGTGATTCTGAAATACATGGTTCTTTGTGGACACTTATAAAATGCTGATATATTCAGTGAATTTTTCACACAAAGGGCTTATTAACACAATACTAACAGTTTATGTCAACTAAGTTCATTCTATGGGCTAGTGCTGTGGACATTATTTCATGTAATACTCAAGCAGATAAGATATATATTATTATTGTTCTCATCTTTATAGGTGATGAGAATAAAGCTTGGAGAAATGAAATAACTTGCATACAGTTATACCACCTATAAATCAGGGAAATAGCTCTCCAGCCCTTATGTGGTGGTATGTTCTGAACTTTCAATAGCCTCAGTACACTTTCCATGCGTTGTACCTGGAAGGCTAATCATTTTGGAATTCATCTTTAGCCTTAAAATTCACATGTATATCTATAGCCAGTTCTTCATGTACTAGAAAAGCATTCAATAAAATTATAATTGCAAGTTTAATTGAACGAATAAATTTGTTGTTTTGAACCATCAGAGAAATTTTTAAAATGTTAATTGAAGGCTTCCTACATGCAAGACTGATCGCATGGCTTCAAAATGCCAAGTTAAAAGAGGAGTTGACTGGGCCAGAGATGTAGCTCAGTGGTATCACTCCTGCCTGTCAAGCACAAAGTCCTGAGTTTGATCCCCAGTACCACAAAATTTTTTTAAAAAAGTTGATTTTAAAAACTCAGATTTTTAGTTTAGAAGGAATGGGCATGGACTGATTCTCAAATTCTTGGGAAACTTAAATTAGGGGTCAACTCCTGAGGCATAAGAGAGATAAGATGAAACACAGCTAAAGGCAGTACAGATTTGGAAACTATTATCTCAAGCAATGGTCCAGAGCACAACATTTTAGCAGCTGGCCTAAGCCTGCAGGTGAACATTTGGGAGCAATACATAGATTGTAGATAAGGATGACTAAAATGATGGAGTAGGAGAGGAGAAGCTACCTATTGATAAATTGTGTTTCTAAAAATAGTCTAGAAAGATGGTGAAACCAATGAAATTGTAAATTACATCAAAACAGGCATGGATTTGCCATCATTTCAAAATCCTCAGTCTACATAGCTAACCCCAGTGCAACCCACTGGTGCAGCTGCTCAGGAAAGTAATTCCCATACTACCCCGCTTCCTTTCACAGATACTGGTGAGGCATTCCCTGCCTAGGAGCAGCACCTGGTCAGTGGGGTATCTCAAACACTTGGGGCTGGATTTAGTGTGGCCAAAGGATGGCCATTTAGGGCCCAGTAACTCTACCTTACAGATGGAATGACATGGCCTTATGCTGTAATAGAACTTTGAGCAAGATTAGGGGCCAGAAGATGAACAAGTTTGGGACGCAACTTTGCATGATACTAAAACACCACACTTGTTGAGGGAAGAAATCTCTATTAAGTCTTACTTTAGCAAGTAGTTTCACTTACTTAATATGGATAAAAATATATTACTGGTAAGGAAAGGGTGGGGGGAGTGCTTCATGTATGTGCTTCATTAATTGCCATCTGAATCATCAAGAGGAAGGAGCACATATCTGCTCTTTAACCTGTCAGGATCAGACCTGGAGTAGCATGGCTCACCTGGGACTGTCCTAGTCAAGCTACCACTTTCCTCTCCCATTGTAGAAACCCTTGGTTGATTAAGTGGGATTTTTGAGAAAAGCTTTGATTTGGTTACTGCAGTCCCTGAGGAGGAAGAGGAGGAGAAGAAGGTATGAATCCTAAGGAAAGACCAGTCTGAGGAGGGTAAGTATCACTTTCCCTGAAGGGGTGGAGTAGAAAATGTCACTATGTTTGTACAAAAGAGGAGTTCTTTGCAAGGAAATTCATCAGAGGGCAGGGAGTTCTGCTAGGAACTGAGGTGGGCTCTCTACAAGAAGTTGAATTTGAGGATGGTTTTCTGTTGGTTTTTGAGCGCAGTTCTATTTGGCATTATGTTTAAACTTTTTCCCTCTCACATTTTAATTCTTATTGGTTAATTCCAACTGTTCAGTAAAGTCTGGTACACCATAGAACTTTAGGTAAAGGTAGAATAGAGAGACTCCAAAGGGGAGTATGGATTCCCCAATTTGTTCTCTCTGCTGAGCCCTTTGTGGAACTGATACTGTCTTGTTGCAGGGACTTGGGTCTAGGACTCACAGGATGTGATCAGCAGCCAGTGAACAATGCCATGTTGAAAGTAACAGTATTAGAGAAAGGCATCAAATGAGAAGCAAAAGCTCTAAGATACAGTTAAAAGACAAGGATAGCTCACAGCACAAGGTCCAGAGTTCAATCCCCAGTACCAAAAAAAAAAAAAAAAAAAAAAAAAAAAAA